TATAGCACTTTTCCACGTTTGACTGGGAGTTTGGAATAGTGAAAAACCACCTAAGGCATTTGGCTTATCCATATATGGTATAGCACTTTTCCATGTTTGACTGGGAGTTTGGAATAGTGAAAAACCACACAAGGCATTTTGTATATCCATATGTAGTATTTAATTTTCCGAAGTTAAAAAAATCCATTTTCCACAATGGGTAAATGATTCAAACACACATGGTTTTTAAAACGAAACCACATGTGGAAAAAAGGCACTTTTTCCATATGTGGAAAATATTTGAAAACCACATGAARTCCACAGAATTTCCACAAAAAATCCACGTTTTGCACAATTTGAAATTTGAACATTTTTCCAGTGATGACTCTTTGATATCCAGGAAAGCTTGTTTCAGTGTACCATAAGCAGAAAGGTCTTGGTGGTGCTGCTGAAATGACGTTTCAATGGAACTCATGTGCTGCCACATGCTTATTTGGGGTAGGGGATATGCGGGTTATTATAATGTTTTGAAGAAAGGGATGGGGATTCAGGGCTTATCAAAACCTGCATTTTATAATATTATAGAGTTTTCTTATATTCATGTCAAAAACATCCTTGATAAAGCATGTGAGGATGCAAAAGAAAACATGAAGAAAAAAGATGATAATGTTGTCGGTAGTTGGAAAAAAGCAGTAACTTCCTCAGATGGTTGCTGGTTAATCCGTGGCTACCACAGTCAGTGTGCTAGTTTTGTTATTATTGATTTTATTACAAATGGTTTGTTATATTATGAGCATTTATGTATGCAGGGCTCAAATGATATTTGTGACAGTGATCTTTGGGAGGGGACCTCCAAGGCTGCAGGGGGGATTTATGAGAGCAAGCGAACAGTAAAACAGGGCTTCATAAGTGAGCATGTGAAAGACAGATAGAGATAGCCTCTGTGAAATGTCATCGCAGCACTAGACACTCCAAAAACAGTGGATGTTTCACTGATGATTTTTTGTCTACTGCTAAGAGAAATCATTTTTGTGTCACGCAGAGCGTATGATGACCTTGGGAAAATACCATGCCAGGGACATACATTATTGGACAAATGCCGATGGTGTGACAGAGGAGTGTGTATTTCACCCAGAAATTGTCTGTTCTTGTGGCAACTGTCCGAAAAGGAAGGGGTTAGACCAGATGTTGAGAGGTGAAGAAGATGTAGAGGAATCGGATCTGTCTAGTGATGACAGTGATGAGGAGGAACAAGAAGCAGACAAATGTGCTGGTCAGCCCTATTCCACCAAAGCTGCATTGACATTTATGAAATAGAGTGCAGTAGACTGTCAAAAAAGGCAGCACAAATAATTGACCCCAAGATGGGACGTGGTCATTCCAACCTACCAGTCACGATTCAACGTCTTGACAAAGTTTCGTGCAAAAGATGTCAACCTCCATCAGTTGCACTATGAAGTGTCGACTAACTTAGGCCTACTCCAAAGTAACATGACCTGGTTCTACAAGAATTATGGAAAGGACTACCACTGGGAGCTTGAGCTCTACAGGGATATGGGTCTCCCTGTAATAGATGGACTAAAAGAACAGGTGGGCATGTATTTTTTTATACATACACWTATTGTATAGCATACCTATATGTAAAGCATCTATAAAGCATGCGTATAGCATTCGTTAGCTTCATTATAAATGATTTATAAAAATCTACTAAACCCACTATGTAAGTACACTGTTTAGAAAATGGATGAACATTTCTTTGTACTGATAATATTGGCATCTGATGACAGCTCGAGTAAAGATGTATGTGTTTTCATTTTTTTTTWAACAATTTTAGCTGTGCCATGACAATGAACAAAGAAGAAAGAAATTAGAAAGACACAAGACAGAGAAGGTTAAAAGCATGCGAGGTCAAAGAAAGAGAAGCCGACTTGAGGAGCAAAAAAAGGTAATTATTTTAACATATTATTATGATTACAGCCTTTTGCAAAAATTATGAGAATTGTTGAAATATCTAAATATCATAATATCGAGTGCATGATGGGTAATCCCGCGCGATGCCCTTAGTCCCTTGTCTTTGTTAGTTTAGTTTTTTCTGGCGACGAACATTTTCTCGATGTCAACAATGAATTATTCTAGCAAACCCGCGTGTTCCGGACAATATATGGATATGGATATTATGATATTTAGATATTTCAACAATTCTCATAATTTTTGCAAAAGGCTGTATGATTATTTCTAATATAAAAATTAGGTAACACCTAATAGCGGAGCTCCAATAGCAATACAGAAGCTGAAAATGATTATCTAGTTCTGCTATTTCAAAGGTAGATGCTCTGTTCTAAGGAATGTGAGCTACAACAGTTTTGATGACATGCGAACAAATATTATAAATAGTATGTTTATGAGAATTTAGTTCGTACTATTATATTGACTTCGGTAGATATTGTTCCGTTGGATGAAGTTTAAAATCATAATTAAAGTAAACTGAAAGCTTCTCGGCAAAAAGTAGTCTACATAAGCTTACAATAATCAACATTGTTTCAATAATCGATGTTTGAACCCGGATTACTCGAACTTCACATATCACAGAAAACTGTATACAAAAATATAAATTTTTTACCTTCATTATCAAACTTCCGATAAATTATCGTTCAAAGGTCATCTTCAACAGAGCCATACTTGTTTCAAGCATAGGTTTCATCAATTTATTAAGTCATTCAAGACTGTAGATTCTTTGTTTTTAATCTCTCTAAATCTAACTGCTAGCATGGTCTTGGTTTCGAAATGTCCACACTTTTAGTCGACAAAAGAACTTCGCATAGATCCCTGCTTTTTCCCATATTGGTCCATATTATTGAAGTATTTCCAATAAAAAGTATCATCTCTTTCTTGTTGTCGAAATATCAAAGTAAAATCCTTTTTTCTAATATCACTTTTAAGATGGGCCTAAATTGCTTTTCATCTTCGCAAATCGATTTCCCGGATGTGCGGACGCGTCGAAGTTAGGACAAAATTGGCGGGAATATTTCTGTGCTGTTATTTCGCTCTTCAGTTGATTTTTTCCTTGTTCTAATATTATCAATATGTCATATAAATGTTTAAGGAAAAAAAATCGATTTTTCAACAAATACTTGCTGCTTTGTTTCCTTTTAGATCGGAGTATGGGTTTCCTGTGGTGGTACACGGAAGGACGGACGGAAGGATGGAAACGTGCGTASGCGCGGGAACCCTATGTCGGTCCATGGAAAATCGACTAGATGGTATACCATTTTTTCTTAGCTATGGTGCTCCGCTCGCGCGGGCCTTCGGGAGCTCCGCTATTGTTATATTATTTGATGGTCTTTCTTGTTTGCTGGTCCAACCACTGTAACAGTGGTTTGTGTGATATAAATGTGGAGTGCTATAAAAAAATTTCAAAGTTGTTACAATGACACTTTTCTGATTCAAAATTCACAGGAAAAAATACAGTGCACGGCAAAAGATTTTGCATTCATATAGTGCGAATGAGGATGATGAAGAAGATGATGATGATGAGAATGAAAAAGCTCAATACGCAGAGAAAAATGGAAAGAAGGGGGGAAGTAACAGAAGTAATAGTGGTACCTTCATTGCTCCTCCAAGCAATGCAAGAGTTCGTGTTGGTGGCCCTACAAAAGAAGGTGGGAAATTCTGTAGATGTGTCGCGACAGACCACCAGCGGACCTCGCATCGAGACTGCCCATATAATAAGAAATGGGGTGACACTAATGAAGGAAGCGCTAATTGAGAACATGAAAATTTTAGATAAAAAAGTCAATATGGACCATATTCAAAAAGAAAAGCAAAAACAATGTCATGTGGACCAATTGAGTACATTCATTCTTTATAAGAAACACTTTGGTAATTAGTTAAAAATCCAATAGCAAGAATGAATCTTTTAAATACAGTCATCATTTTTTTGCCAGCTTGCAGAATGACAAAAGTTGCATTGCTCGTCAGCTACACATAAATTATGACCTACATATTATTGAAATCTTGCATTGAGAAAATATTGCTTTCAATGCATCATAATATAAGTGATATTATTGCATTGGTTTTACTGATGTATCCTAGACCAAATGATTTTGACTATTTCTGGTTCATGTTTGAAATATTTTAGCAAAACATATTTTTTCCTAGCTTACTGTTTATATTCAGTTGTGAATTAGAATGTTAGAGTAACCCATTTACAATTTTGTGCCTACTCAGGTGGTAGTAGGCCCACAGCAATAAAAGATTTACTCTATCAGCTATATAGCCAGAACTATTTTAAAAGCCAACACACGTCTTCTGCAAAGAAGATATAATTATATTGTATTTTAAAATAAAAGCTTTGATAGTAGTAAATAATACATATATAGATTTTTACAAAATAATTCTTTGACAATAAATGTATTTCTGTGCGAGTCATTTTACTTGTAACAGAGAGTTGGGGAAATGGCAAATTGTACAATAATGAACAAAACTATTATAACTTAATCTGCTATTCAATAATTTGAAATAATAAAAAAAATATCAAAAATTGATATTGAAAATGATGTTTTATCCACTGTCATGAACATTCACTGGTCAAGGTACACATATTCCCGAATCAGCTCTGCCAGGGAGACTTCATAGAATTGGCCCTAAAGAAACACATTCAGAAATGCTATAAGTTGATGTATTCAAACGTTTGTTCGAGTTGAATGCATAACTTACTCTTCTACTGGCAGGTGGGCGATTTTTAATACCAGAAGGGTACAAAGCCCTTATGACATCGATGAGTGGTTGAGGATAAATTAGAGACGCACCACTGCCAATTCCTTGCTTACGCTGCAAGGACGACGCGCGTCAGCGCCACTTCGTCCCGAAGTCCTTCCATGCTTCAACAGAGTTACAAGCGCATCTGGAAGATCCTTATCACTGTATAAGAGAACCAATTGTAATTATAAACAATAATAATTATATTGTTTATAACTAAAGATAACATGCAGCGTACGGGATACAAAATAAGGCCCGAAATTTCATAGATTTGCCAACTTACGTTTCTAGTAAAACTTCCCGCCGAAAGCGCGTTATTGGATTCTCAAYATGTGTCTTTGACTCACAATCTAGGAAGAAATAAGTTATAAAAATGTTCATAATAAACATTTGAACTACTTTGCAAAATAAAAAGCAAAAGCAAACCCGATAACGTACCTGAAACTCTCTCTATCCTGAACAACTACACGTGCGGTCAAAGGGTGTGAACTTTTTGTGTGTTTCTGACGTGAATCCAGCCAATGACCGCATACCGATATTAACACTGGCACATACAAAAACATACCTTGGCAACGTAAAATAACGCAAAATTTCCCGCAAAGCTAAAACCCTAGARAAATTAAATTTGTCCGAAACTGTTTTTTATTACCGTAGGAATAAAATAMAAAAGTTAAAAAGGCCTTTTATTTTTGGCCCCTCTGACTTTCCTCAGACCTTAAAGTATACTTTCTTATATATTCTAGGACGCATTATGCATAATTTTCACACCATTTAAAATACAAAGAAAAAATACAACATTTTATTTTAGAGTAATTTGCAAATATTGCTACGAAATGTTTCTATTTTTTTCAGTTATGCTTATATAGCAATAATCAATTTTTCTTACTATTAATCAGCAAATTGCAAAAAAATATATACAATAGCTAAAAATAAGACTTAGTCCTTCTCATATCTGTTAGGCAATCTGCAAATAAATAATCTTTGGTCCTCATATTTACAATCCACTAACACACAAAGTGCTGTGATACTTTTTACTGGGAAAATTACATTATTGCATACTTCCCGTTTAACTGGAATAATGTGTTCTACATTACAATTTGTAAAAGAATCTGAAGAAATAGATACGCTATCCACCTTGAAATGTAAATTAGCAACTCCAAAGTAACATGGAGATTTGCAAATACATTTGTTACTACAAAATGAAACGTTTGGGCATTTTACATATGACTTTAAATAATAATCAATTTCAAAAAAACCCTGCATTATCAACAAAAACTGTGTAACTGTTCCACCTTGATATGTTTAAGTAGCTTTTACTGTGAACAATATCTGTATTGATTTGAATTCTACTAAATTTGAAAGCTTTAGATGGATAGCCAATCTGTCTTTGTATTTGAGCTTGTTGGACTCCACTCAGTGCAGTAGGAGATAGAACTCCAAGTGCAAATATATTTTCATTGATCATTTCACGCTTACACTTTAACAAATACCTTCTCCTTGTCATACGATCATAAAGGTCTTTGCTTGATGAGCCAAATGGAAGGAGTGGAATCAGTTCTGGTATCTTTTGCTCGATGCAGACGGATAATGCAATCTGAAGGTCAACTTTCTGAGTCCCATGGAATAATGTCCGCAGATCTCCATTATAGTCCTCAAACCAAAAGCAGGACCAATATTCTTCACACAATCTTTGAGGTGAAGCAGGCAATGAACATTAAATGTCTGATATCTTTCCCCATACAATGCTTCAATTCGCAAGCAGAAATGTCTTAGTAGATTTTCTGCCTTTACTAAACACTCCATGGATATGGACTTTTCATCCAGTAACCATATAGCTTCAACAAGCAAGATGAAATGTTGGAAAGACTCGTCAGGAAGAATATTCCACAAACATGGAACTCCATAGAAAAATAGGAATGCTCTGAATTCTGATGCCTTCCAATGACCATACTCATTTTCAATGCTCCTTGGGTCTCTTGAAATGCAGTTTGGTGGAGTAATAWGCAGCAAACGCTTGTCTACTTCCTTCACTTTTTTGCTTATGTTAAAAGATTCAGCTGCATGTGACTTATCAAACCACAATGTCATTAGCATTTTCATGACTCCTAAAAGAACACAGTGCATGTAATCCATTGAAATCCCTTTGATTATGTCAAAACCAGGTACAAACATAAACCAGGTGTAGCGAGGGTAGATCAGTCAACCAGTCACATTTAGCCTATACATCATAACATGTATCCGGTTACTGAATAGTTATATATAATGATTATGAAAAGCCAAATAAAGCTTAGTTCTACCCAAACGTCTTAGAGTGAATATTTGGTCCGCTACAAATCTGGTGACAGCGGATCGTTTCCACGCCATGGGTGCTATTCTCCCACCCAAGTTTGATAGTGGGGATTTTGAAGCATGGCTTCGTCAGTTTGAGGCATGTAGCGCCGCGAACGGTTGGGTGGTAACCGAAGCGAAAGACGACAAGCTTCTCAAGCTCCCCGCATTCTTAACGGGTCGAGCAGCTAGTCATTTTTACGCAATTGAATCGACCACGTTTGCTACGTTTGCTACCGCTGTGAAAGAACTACGGGCTGCTCTCTGCCCGGMAGCTACCTGTGAAAACCTTTACAGAGAATTCGAGGAACGAGTGTTACGACCCGCTGAGGACCCTTCGGTTTATCGCTGGGAACTTGAAAACGTTCTGGCAAAAGCAGAACCGACTCTAAGTAACGACGCCAAAATGGCTTTAACTACGCGTCAGTTCATGAGAGGATTACCGAAGTCTCTCAAATTCAAACTGTTGGAACACGACCCTACTCCTACTCTCGCCAAAATGGTGGACTTTGCTCAACGCTACCAAGCCATGGAAGGCTACATTTCACCGGACACAGTTCAAGCCGCTGCTGTATCACTTCCAGKAGGGACATCTAACCTGTTGCCAGATCCACAACTTATGCAACTGATGTCTATGGTCGCCGGTATCGCGGTAAAACAAGACGCCCTGGACAAGCGTATTACTCAAGCAGAGAAACAAACCCCGCAATCTGGACAACAGCTAGTGTGCTTTCGGTGCGGCCTCCCTGGCCAGGGAAAACGCCAKTGCCCAAACCAAGAAGCCACACAATCAAGCGCGCCACGTGCGCAAGGCAGAAGACAAGGACAAAGACGACGACAAACAATACAATGCTTTTAAAAATGTTCAGGCTATGGACATATAGCCAGAGACTGTGCTAACAATGATTTAAACTACTAGGCCATCATCCCATTGTAAGTAGTAGTAATAGTAGCAATATTATTTTTTGTGCCCACCCATTTGTTGATTGTATTATTGAGGGTGTCCATGTCCGAGCTCTGTTAGATACAGGCTCGATGAAATCGTTTTTAAGTCGCCATATTCATCATGTTATCGATTTTGATCACTTAGCTCTTGATAAATCTAGTAACCATAAGTGTGTTTCTATAACGAGAAACCAGTTAAATATTTTAGGTTGTATAACGACAAAACTTAGTTTTGTCCATTCCAAATACTCGTATTCCTGGAATTTTTTAGTTTCTGATAACATTCCTTATGAATGTGTAATAGATTGGGATTTTATCTTAAGTAATCAGCTATCTCTTAAATCGGATATAGGAGGGGAATATCTTTTGTGTGGGCGGCATGGCGTAACTCACATTTATCATCACACGGAAACGGAAATTACGTCGAGGGTAGGAATTATTGACCAACACCCTACCCCTGTTAGGGACCGCGTTTTATATGAATTGGAACATGGCTGCTGTGCAGGGGTTGTTCTTACTGAATCAGTGGTGATTCCAACCCGATCGGAAATGATGTTGGGAGGAAACGTGTCCAGTAAAATAACTAGTACAGTGGGTATGGTGGGGCCATCACCACGCGCTACTAAGGAAAGGGACAGCTTTCACATAGCTCACGCAATTGTCACACCAGGGGAGGGTCGAGTTGTCCCCCTCAGAGCAATGAATATGTCAAACCGCAAAATTGAGTTATGTGTTGGAGAAAACTTAGCAGAATTTTCTCCTTTAGTCGAGTCTTGTACAAAGAAACCTGATGCACCTTGGGGCAATGTCGTAGCGGGAGTATTTCAGCAAACATCTGACGATTTTGCAAAACAGGTCGACACAGCTCTCGACTCAGGCCTCAGTTCTAGCGATAAACAGTATGTTTTGGAGCTTCTGTATGAAGACAAGATTCTCTCTGCTGGAACTCTTAGATCTGGACGAAAAGAATTTCCAGGGGAACTTTTTGACAAAGAAAGAATAAAGGCAATGAATAGAGGAGATGTCATGTATAAGGTGAGAGGTCCAGTCGTGTCATTGACATGGATAGATAAAAAGGCTGTCCATGCTGCTGGTACCTACACCCTTGCCCCCTCAGATCAGCTACCTGAAGTGAACAGGAGACAAAAAGATGGGTCAATACAAAAAGTGAAGTGTCCTGAACTTGTTGCCGAATACWATAAATACATGGGAGGTGTAGACAGGAATGACCAAATGAAGTCCTACTATCAGATTCCAGCAGCTGGCAAGAAATGGTGGACAAGGATACTATATGACCTCATTGACAGGGCAATATACAACTCTTTTGTCCTTGAGATGRAAACACCTGGACACCAGAAGAGAAAGTTCAAAGATTTCCGGATCGATTTGGCCAAGCAGCTCATCAACAATTTCTCATCAAGAAAGAGGCGAGGAAGGCCATCAGAGGAGCAGGTCCTTGATCGGCATGTAGAGAGGCACTTCCCTGACTATCTGGCTTTGAATGAGAAGGGGAAGAGGAAAGAAAGAAGGTGCAAAGTGTGCTATGACAGGGGAGTCAACAAGAAAACAAGCTACTTTTGCCCTAACTGTGACACTGCTCTTTGTGTTGTACCATGCTTCAGAGTGTTTCACACAAAATAACCATCTAATTTAGCCAAATAGAAGTAGAGTTTTGCATTTTGTATAAGAGTTTTAGTGTATTTCAATTTAAAGTGCACATGACACCATTAGAAATTCATTCTCATCCAAAAGAGAAAATGCTGCTAAGTACTTCTGTGAAGAAACAAATTGATTTTAAATTGTATTTTCTAAGTTATGGGTAATTGAAACTTAGAAAATGCAAATTAAGTGACGTCTACTAAGGAATGATTTAATATACAAAATCATGAAAGAGGACGTTATTCTTTTTGTTACACTGGAAAAAGCATTTTCAGCTCTCAATTATTACTATGGTTAATGACTTGAGCTCTTCAACCAAGAACAGCATAGCGCAAACAATGTAAAAAGTCTGGACCAATTCCTTAGTTGACGTCACTTCATTTGCATTTTCAATTTTCAAATGTCTATAACTCAGAATATACTATTCAAAATCAATTTCTTCCTTTACAGAAATGCTTGTCAGCATGCTACCTTTCGGATAAAAGTGTTTTTCTAAAAGGTGTCATGTGCACTTTAAGGACCACTGATCAAAATGTCAGTAATTTTTATAGCTGAGGTCAATAATTAATGACTATTAATCAATAAATAATTATTTGTAAATGTCATAGGGGTACAATGGTGTCAATATTATTACTTTGCTTTTGCTTTTTAGTGTCAAAGATGATGGAGGAAGCTCAGAATGTGGGGTAATAATAATACTGGAATTAGAATTTGT